CGAGTTCCTTATTAGACGCGATCGAAATGTCTCTCGGCCTTTACCAGTGATACCGTTCTTTGTGCCATCACTCATCCGCCTCCCTTCCCACATAGGCACCTGTCCTTCAAATTCTTTCTTGGCGACCTATGCATCCTGCCGACATGGTCATCCGTTCAGGCGTTGGACAGTTTTTACACGTGATCAAAGCCCACCAAGTTCTAGGTCAAGGGCGACCTTCGAAGAACAAAATGCACGGGACACGGTATCGGCAACCGATATCATTATCGTCTCTTCTTCTACCATCTGTCTAAAGACCCATCCTTGCAGCCGACGCAGCTTCTCTAAGAGACCGGATTTTCGAATCGTTCGTAACTCGACAGAGGGTTCGGGTGAGAACTGAAGGATTAGGTGCTGGATGAGCCCCCTCCTCCTCCTCAACCTTCCTTTTTTCTAGTTTTCTCGATTCAAAAGCATCCCAGGCGGGTCCAGATGCAATCGTGCTATGCTAACTATTGTACAAGAACTCGAATCGAGTCATTTAACTGTGCAACATACAGTGAGCAATCTAGTGGTTCTACAACAACACATACGTTCACGCAATATTTCTAACTTTTGGAATTGTTTGAAAATTCAGAGAGTTCAACGAAAAGAAGATCTGCAAATTTTTTGTGCCTTTTTCTCTATTCAAGAAAGAAAAATTGAAGAAAAAATTGTAGCTGTTTTGGAAAATCCTTTTTATAAACTGCATTCATTTCAACGAGAAATTATGAACTACTAGTTTTTTAATGTATATGACGTTATTTAAAGATATATTTTTGAAACAGAATTCGTTTAAGAAAATGACTATCATCGACATAGTATTTTTACAAAGTTTTTGTTTTTTTTTAATTTTTGTAAACACGACGCTTGCCGAAGTGGGGCCAACGCCATTTTCCCCTACTCTTTGCTACAAACGGGAAAAAATTAAAGAATATGCGGTGACATTTTTGAGAAAAATTGCCTTAGTTTCACGCAAAATTACGCGAAGGATTAGCGCCATTTCGAAAAATCATCCAAGACCTTCTATCCATATGTTTTTGAAGAACAGATTTCATTGAAGGGAAAAATTATAACTTCATTATTGTAGTTGTAAGAAGACAGGTAAAAGCCGAAAAAGGTACACTTTGCAATTTTCGAAGATTCAGAGAGTGCAACGAAAATACGACCAATTTTCGAAATATCTTTGAACAACCGATTTTATTAAGGCAAACTGCAGACGTTTCTAAAGTGCGCGACTTATTCTCAGGATTCTTTATTTTCCAATTATACGACGAATTTAGCTTCGTCTCCACGGTCAAGACGATTACACGAACAGTCAAGGAGACATTATCACTAGTTCATAAGGTGCCAAGAATTTTCAAAAACCGTCAATTTCGTCATGTACATGAAATGATATAGATCTCAATGTATAACAAATGCCAGAACATCGAGGATATCACCTCTTTTACTTTCGGCATTTCCATGAAGCGATTGAATGTGGCGTGAATCATTTGTCTTACTCGAACTATCTATTGGTCATATAAGGTCTTGGTGCAGTTTCTTCTTCGATGAAACATTAGATTTTATTTGTTTTGTTTTTTCTCTGCCACCTCGCTTTCATCAAAATTCATAGAAATTGAAGTTACGTTCATTATTTGTGGAAATGTCACAGACCTCGTCATTGACAAGGCTCTGAAGCTGATGACCTAAACAATCTTTAAAAATGATCTATAAAATACTTAAAAATAAGGGGAAATGCCCTTTTTTTAAATACTACAAAAAAAATCATGAATATGTTTATTTATTCAATGAATTTTACAATGTCATATAAAATTTATTTAGATAAAATTATACGTAATAAAGTCTTTATTTCAGGAGGAAATGTACTCCATAGCTCCGATCTTCCAACCGTCAGTCTTGAAAGATGGAGGAAGTTAAGAGGAAGATCCGATTAATTTTGAGAGTTCGAAAAACAGAGTCCAGTGCAGTAGTGAGTTTCGTCATGAACTGGTGATTCAATAAAAACGTTGTTTTAGTGTGTCATTGTAAATTCATGAAACATTCAGTAACAAAAACGCACGAAAAGGAAACAAAATGCGTAAAAATTAAAAAAAAAGACGTAAAGTTCCAGAAAATCGATAATTTATTTCTCGTTCTAAAACTAGGGAAATTAATTTTTTGATTTTACTTTTAATATGAAGATCTCTTATTGCTTTTAAGAGACACTGGTGTAAATAGCTTTGTCCCCCGAGTTGTTTCAGTGGATGGTGTACATTTCTCCCATCCATAGACATTTCGGACCTCAATCAATAAATGAGAAATTGGGGTAGACATAACAGGTTTCTATATAGTTTCATATATCTCGTTTCCCTGACTCTTATTGCACCACTAATTATTCTCAACGCCATAGCTAAGATGAAAATATTATTTTCGGCAATATCTACTCAATGCTCTATTTCACTCCCTTATTCACCAGTTGGCAACATAACTGTCTTTAGGGCTTTCATTACATTACTTAGCCAAGGGGCCGATTCCATGATTCACCCTCCATAGTGTTCCCTGATAAAGTAAATGTTTTGGAACGACCCCTCACTCATTAGCTGTTCTCGGCGCAGGCATGCAATCCTTTGTGCCTTCATTATACCATCCCGCAGCAGTATCTCGTTCTACCACAGCTCCGGCACTGTGTCTTTCCCTTTAATTATCACGCTAGCACGCATTCATTCGCATCCCATGGCTGCGGCACCAGTCATGCTAAGGGGACGTTCTCGATATCCTCTGAGCTTGTCTCGGCTGCAGCGGTGCCCCGCTAGTGGAGGACACCTGGTTAGGGAAAACCCCGGTAGCCGAGAGTAGGTCGGCGTCGGATCTCGCCATACAGCGGGGAAAGACCACCTCCACCGCCCGAATAAAAACATGCACTAAACTTACGGGACTAGTGGCCTTAGTAGTTGAAGCGTCCGGAATCACAGTCAATGAATCAATCGATATTCTACGAAATATGTTTAATCTAGGAAGGGACATTCCTAATTTGAAAATATCAAGACAAAAAGTAAAATAAAATGCATATCCCTCTTGCGGCAACTCGCTGAGGGGCTCCGTTCTCGTTGCGGGGGTGGTGTCTGTGCTGCGGCGGCCGTGAGCACGTGGTCCGAGGACAGGGACGGAGACGGGGCCGAGGCCGAGGGCCGGGGGGTCGATAGCGACCCACTTGCCACTGCGCCGCCCGCGGCTTCGATTCAGCCCTCGCCTCGCCCTCCCGGCGCCGCCGCACGGGGCTCTCCCAGCACGTACGGGCGCCCCCCCCCCCCCGGCGCCCTGCAGCCGAAAGAGCGCTGGGGCTGCCGATTCAGAGGCGCGGAATGAAATATGTCATTTCACAAACGCCGAACGTCGTGTCGCAAAAGAATTTTCGCTTGCTATTCGCGAAGAGCCATGCAACCCTGCCAGTATATCAACATACAATGTAGGCTTTCACGGCCGGTTTCTACAAAATTAGATGTTTCCTGCCAGTATATCGCCAGAAAAATCGCACGTTAGCACATCTCAACACGTTCCAAATAAAGCAGATGAACTACATAAGCAAAAAGAATAAGGTTACAGAAATACCTCATATAAAATACACTTCATGTAAGTGAAACCAACATTTCGAAAAGATTCGGATTTGGATGATGTTGGATTTGGAAAAGATTCGGACAGAAAGAATCCTCATTCTCCATCAATAAGTTTTTTTACTAGTATGTTCTTTTGTCTTCGTGAGTAAATGCAACGGGGATACTTGAAAAGACGCTAGTATATTCTTGATTAATTAATAAGACAGTTTACATACATTGCTAATCGTCCTTTTTTACTGACAAAATAAAAAAAAAACGCGCATAAATGGCAGGTCTGAAAGTTGAGCGGTACGAGAAAAAAAGAAGAAAGAAAAAAAATCGACATCACGGGAACTCTGCTTTCGCCGAGAAGAAAGAGACTCCAAAAGGATCAAGGGATTTTTTAACCTGTCAATGAATGTGAAGAAATATCGATACACTTAAGAATGCAGCTCCAACAGATTAGCAATACATCCCTGGAAAAAGGGTAATTGTCTTTTACAACTGAGAAGAGCCCATGCACATCATAAATGTAAATACTACCATTCATCTTTTGCACGTAAAATAAAAAGAACCATATAAATAAATATATTACTGGACCTTCATTGTGTAAACCAATACACACATAACTAGTGCTAAAAATCGCGTACTTTGTCGCCCGTATTTTCACACTATCACCCAAAAAGAACTCAAGTTTTCGGAAACTTGTACGTGACCTTATTTCAAAATATATATTTAAGGAACAGATTTCAGTAAGAGGAAAATATCTTAATTTTTAATATTTACATTGCAGGAAGACGCTGAGAAAATATTGAACTTTTGCAATTTTCAAAATATCAGACTATTTAATAAAAATGAAACACACACCATACTCTTAAACGTTCTTCACACTATCCAACAACAAACTGTAAGCAAATTCGATTGAGCCACTTTTTTGAAAATCTTGAAAATGTTCCAGAGACTTCATGTAAAGTTACAAACTTAAAAGGGCACACACTTAAAAGGGCTTACAAACTTAAAGTTTCAAATTCAACGGGCCGCAACATCAGTCAGATTGATGGGAAATATCAATTTTTGAGAAAATCGACAGAGCGCTTTAGTCGCTAGCGTTCTTCACAGACGAACGGACAGACGTTTTGCCGTCTTTAGATTTTTTTAAATTAAGAACCCGCAAAACATAGTTACTGGCTACACTACGTGTTAGAGGATTTGTTTCTAAATTTAGCTAATGGATTTATCCATTTTTACATTACCAGGGCCCTGTAATAAGAGTTTTCTGCCGAAAATGCGCCGTTTTTTGGACAGCATTACATTACTTTGTCTCCACTGAGAAAGTACAAATTGATACTCACAATACTTTTAAACGTCTATACATATACATTCTCCTTTAAAACTTGCATTTCTCACCTGATACACAGCAGCCGCCGCACCTCACCAGAAAAAAGAAACACTTTCCTCTTGCAAAAACACATGTCGGTAGATTTAATCAGAGACGTTGGCCCAAAACGTCTACGTTAACTTTCCATCTGGAACGTCGCGATGGTTTTCTTCATTAAAACCACTATTAACCAATTTCACACATTCACACAAAACTTGAGACCAGCCGCCACAGAGAAAAATGAGACGCACATAACGCAACGGTACGGCAGATCGAACAGCATAACCCGCGCGAAACGCGGCTCCGCCCAAAGTCAGCAGTCCGTCCATCACACCGCCCGTGTATGGACGCGCCCGCGGAGAGAAGCCGGAGGTCGCAGCCACCCGCGGCGCGAGACCTTTCGTCGCGCGCGCCTTCCAGTGCCGAATGCCAGGGCGGCGCGGGCGGGGCGGGGCGGGCGGCTCTGGCCGCGCCCTCGCGCCAATTCGTGTACAAAGAACCCCGCCCCGCCCGCGCGCGCGCGACCGCCGCCGCCGCCTCCGACTGAGCTCTCGTTTCGCGCGCGCGACCTCGCCGCTGCCGGGTGGTCTGGGGGTGGGGTGGGGTGGGAGAGGTGGATGTGGCTCGCGTGAAGCCGCGCCGCGCCGCGCCGCCCCCGTCGCACTCGCCGGCTCCACGCGACTTTCTCCCACACCCCGCCCTCCCGTTCGCCTACTGCGCCCGCCCTCGCTTTGCGCTGATTCAACGCCTGGCGTGGCTCAGGGCAGCAATTAATGTCTCTCTGTGGTGCCTCGGGCCGGTAGGTCCTGAAGGCGGCGAGGTCGGAGATTCCACAGATAAAACGAGTTCAATCGAGCAGCTATCTTGAGAATTCTAGGGGCCGGCCGATCTGATCGGTAGTTTTCCGTGGTTCCTCCGATCATCACCAGGCGAATGCCGGAGCAGTTCCCTAACAAATGGGCCACGGACCGCGCGCGATCTCTCCTTCCTCTTCCTCGCTCTATCCTCGCCCTTTACTTGCACACGCGTACTACCTACCATACTTACCGAGAGACCAGTTCGGAACTTAGGCTTGTCCCGGCTGGGGCAGGAAGGACGCTAGGGTAGGTCGAAGAGGGTTCTCGACATCCAGCTAGGGAGGTTCAACACCATCTCCCGCAACAAATCATGCACTACACTTACAGGAATAATGACTTAAGTCTTAATGCTACCAGAATTCCCAATCGATCAATCAAAACCGATGAATCTTTCATTGTAACGGTGAGGTACTGCCTGTCCCCGGGCCCGACAACTCCTCTCGTCATCTGTCCCAGGAGTGTAGTGCATGTAGTGCTTGGGAGGAGGAGCCCATCGACTAATTCACGACGCATTGGCTTATCATTCACGCCTACTTTCTGTATTCTGAAACCTTTGCACGCTCTCGAAACTCTACTCTACATCACAATGACCTACCTCTCGTAGACATTACCAACGTTCAACGCTCAATTTTGGAACACGGCGATATCGTCATCTTTGCCTCCTTTTATTATTTTCACCGCACGCTCCTCCCCTTAGTTTTCGTTGCTCAATCTGTCTCCAGAATACTTTAGAAGCCATCAATTCTCCTGCCATTTTCCCATGTTTTTCCACATCTCGCTCATATTTCAAGGCTTGAACCTTGTCGCCACCGTCTCCATACTGGACTCCGTTTTTGTGTCCCCTTTGAACACCATTTCCACAATATTTCGATGCATTCCGAAATGTTCATTTAATCCTCGTCTTGCCGACGTTGCTATTGTATTTATGTAATATTTTAGCTTCGAATCGGAACATATACATTATCGTGCCTAAACATAATTTCTCTGGCATTGACTTCGGGCTGTCATTGTGGGCGCTCCTCTATCCCTCATTTCCGTTTAATCTTGACATGACACATAACAATTGTTCCCAGGATCCTTTCCAACGAGCACATATTTATTTAGTTCCACCAGCATACGTATGTTTCTCCATTCTCGTTGGGTTTTTTTCCCCTCAAGCGTAAATCGCTCAGTTTTTTCACGCGCATAATCCCATTCCTTTTTTCCACCATCCCTCAATTCCATTTAACGAGGTCACTCCGTCTTTCCCATTCCACAGCCACGTCAACTCTATCTTGCTCTTCTTGGGCGTTCGCAGCCTAATACAAGAGGTGCAAGTGGATTTCTGAGTTCTCATTTCCTTCTGACATTTTTAATTTACATTTGACAGGAGTATCTAGCAAATAATTACAGCATACTACAAAGAGATTGAAACATTAACTTTAAATGATCAAAATTATTAAATTAAACTGATTTTAATTCAATTTCTTTGATGACTTATTTTACGTGGTGAAACTAAGACAATCGCACATGTTTTTTCGTCTGATTACGCAAATTTCACCACGCTTCTTTCTCCTACTAAGGAAACAGAAGGTATCACTCGGCGACGAAGCAGGCGATTTGAATTTAGTTCACAGGCTTCTTTTAGGCTTGAAGAACTTTTACATGCCGTAAATCTACAACAAGGGACAGCCGGGTTTACTTCCCCTTCGATGGAAGGCGTATGAAGAATGTTTTCGTCCTTCGTCGGAATTGAAACCGCAAACTTCGTTGTAACAGTCCGATGCGCTAATCGTTATACCACCGCATCCAACATGTTATTATGTTAAACCATTTAAACGGTTGCTCTTCCCCAAAGGTCTAGCAATTTCCCTAAGTTGTCAGGAAAATGGGGGAGGGGCGCGTCTTTTACACCAACACCCCTCCGTTCTTTCCATCCCCCCTTCCCCTTCCCTTCCCCCTGGCGCCGGCGCGGCGGCGCTCGGTGGCGCCCCCGCCGCCGCTCCGTGGCCCGCGAGGCACGGAACCCCGGCCCCGACTCGCGGGCGGCCGCTCGCGTGCCGACGCCGGCGACCCAAAATGCTCAGCCAGCGAGCGCGACCGCCGGCGCGGGCCCGGCGAAGGAAGTTCGCCCGAGGCCACAACGCAAATGCGTGACATGCGGCTCAGGTTTCCCTCAGAATCACCGCAAGGATCGAGACTTATTTGGCCCGCGATGGGAGATACCTGGAAGGCGAAAGCCCCGCTACCCGTCGTGCGGATCGGCGCCGTATCTCACCCGTCCAGCTGAGGAGGATCACCCCTCCTCCCGAGGAAAGAAAATCACTATTAATAAGGGTTTCATGGCCTCAACTGTTGACGCGCCTAGAAAGACGAAATATTCAATCAATCATACCGTGGGATCAATAAAGACGTCTGCCGTCTGGGATCCAGTAAAAAACATAAAAGAGAATTCATTAAATTTTATAAATATATTCAGCATTCCAAAATTGGTTACCACTTCGGCCAATACATTTAAATATTTTCTAAAAAGTTGACAGAATTTCGCCATGACGAATTTCGACGGTTACAATATCATTCAGCAGGAACGTACGACTACACTTCAGCCTTTAAACGTGTGCCAAGTGTCAATGAAATGTCAGTGACACTAGAATGTGTTCCATCGTCACAAAGATCAGTCTCTGAGACGCGCGAAAGAGGTTTAAATATTTGTGAATTCTCCGAATTCTTAGGCTTCTCATCTGCGCTTTATGTGCACTACCGGTATCTGAAATCTTCCGCAGGAGCACAGCCTCTTTGACATGCGTTAGCGAAGACCTCCGCACGGAGGCACGGCAGCGCTATGTCTTCGGTGGGCAATAAAACCACAGAAGGAACCCGACAAAGATCGCATTAATGCCTGAGCGCTATCATAGTTGGGAATAGGAACATGAATTCTTGAACGAGTCCTAACAAGTAGTGAAGTTGCCTACTTCACTACATATGCAGAGTTTAATAAAGGGTAAAAGGCCCGGCTGAATAGTTAAAGACGTGTGATGGCTCTACGGCCGAAGTGTTTGCGGCGAGGAACCCCGGCGCTAAGGTACGCTGCCCACGCATTCCACGAAACCACGCGAAAATCAACTTTTTCTTTCCATATATTTTTAAAACGATTAAACGTTCCTTCTGTTACTAACAACAACCTACCATTAAGAATCATGCAATTTCAGGATTAAGCGTACTGTATCAGAATACATAACAAGAACTTTCGGAATCTTTCTTTCCAGAGTTTGGGGGCGCCCGATACATTTTTTGACAAGAACAAAGAAAAAAATTGAACGCTGCTTATTTTACATTAACTTTATACAGCAAAAGTAAAGATATTTGAATGTAAACTTCTACAATCTACATTAACACAAAATCAACCCGTGAAAAAATATGAGAACAATTGCAATTATTGCTGCCACTGTTTTTATTCCAGGGTAGGAGCATGCTGCATTGCCGAAAGGATACTGAGTAAGGAAGAGGACAATTAGCTAGAACAAACAGCGAATATGAATCTGTTCAACTGTTCTACGTAGCTTATGACTGGAATATCTTAATTATTTTAACATCCCCTCCTTAGCAACATGCAATTTTGATCGCCATGCATTGTATTTCTATAATAATGAATTGAACGAAATAAGACATTTTTATTAATTTACATTATATTAAAATATATTATGCTTTAATTATTAGCATACATTTTGTGGGGTTTACGTGTCTTAAACGCAACGCCATGATGCATTTTCAAGTGTAATGTACTTTTATGAACTTGTTACTGATCTATTGATGCCATTTCATTATTGTCACTATATGATGTCGGGGAGGGGTAAATTACATTCCGACTAAAAGGAGTGAAATATCAGTGACGCATGATAGATGGAAACAGAAAGTTATATAACAATTTCAATCATCATCACCATTATTACTTTTACTACTACAAAAAGAAGAAAGAACAGATATAATGGGAGCATATTGCTAGTGTACATGTACTAGCCAGGTGCCTTAAGCTCCATACTTCGAATCCCATAATTTGAAGTGAGGGTCTGGCGATAATTCGAACTTGGTTTGCAAGTGCATTTGTTGCCGCCACTAGCACCGCTTTCCGTGCTACTGCACGGCTGTGCAGTATGAAAATACTTCAAGAAAGGTGGATGTAGAGAATAACCGAAACACAAAATGTTACAGTAATAAT